ATGTCACTTCAGTGGTGATAAACTAAGATGGATGAAAATTGTCACTATCTATGACAGATTATTATTGTTTCGGTATGTTCCTTGAAACCATTGTTAGTATAGTTTGGTAGCAACAACAAACTGGGTGCCTATATCGAAGCTGTTATGAACTTCATTCTAGTAACGTAACATCTACAGAAATAATAATAAAAAAAAACAAGTCACTGAAGCAAATTTTTAGGGTAAATCCTCATATACTGTCTAAAATACTGAAATATATAAGTGGATGCAATATATCAGTGTTTTGTCCTTTCTTATAAATACGTTCTAATCTTTCAAGAGAGCGCACGCTGAAATGTCACGCCTGCTTTACTGATTATAATCAAACTTTATGTTCAAAGTCTTTGATTGATTGATTTTTGGTTGTTCACGTCCATTGGCCAATGTTTCATGCATGTTCACGACGATCAAAGTCTTTGACATGAATGTCTATCTACAGCTTGTTATCAAATCGATAATAAAATGCTTCGCTGAGCGCAGCCTGATACGACCGCAGAGGTCGAACCCTGAACAGTTGTGGCAAATTTGGACACAATATTCAAGCTTGATACTGTCTGAATTTGGATTGTGATCAAATTTTGACATAATATAGGATTCTGACACAAAATAAATGTGGTCAAAGATCTTATAAATCCATTGCGCAATACTGTGCAATTGAAGATTTCTTCTTAAAACTTTTCAAAAATTCGAAATTTTAAAAATTTTGAAAAAAAAGTATGAATCCCTTAAAAAATCCCCCCCCCCCAACTTTTTGAAACCCCCCTCGGAGCAATAACCCCAAAACTCAATCCCAGCCTTTCCTTTGTAGTATGGAACCTTTGTGGTACAATGTCAGAGAGATCCATACACTTACACACAAGTTATTGTCTGGAAACTAGAAAAATGTTTGTTTTTGGCCCCTTTTTGGCCCTTAATTAATAAACTGTTGGCCCCTTAACCCCTAAAATGTACCCCAACCTTCTACTTGTGGTATTAAGCATTGTAGTACAATTTCAGAGCAATCGAAATACTTATACACAAGTTATTATCCTGAAACTAGAAAAATGCTTATTTCGGGCCCCTTTTTGGGCCCCTAATTCCTAAACGGTTGGGACCATCATCCCCAAAATCAATCCCAACCTTCCTTTTGTGGTATTGAACCTTATTAAAAATGTCATAGAGATCCATTTACCTGAACTAAAGTTATTGTCCGGAAACCAATGCGTCTTCGCCGGGACGACGACATCATACCATTATACGATCCCAAAAAATTTTTTGCGGTCGTATATAAAAATGATGTCAAGGTCAGTTCTACATCTACATTTACATCACATTGATGACTATATCTCGGCTTATCGAAAATAGAAACTTAAGAAAATTAATAATTGTAAAAGGTAATCAACAATTATAAGAGTGCCCCCCTCCCGAAAAAACAAAACAAAATACAAACACATTAACATATTTATAAACTGATCTATATAGATGTCTAAGATCAGTGATTTAAACTGATCTTAAGTGGTAAAACTGAAAATGTTTGTGGAAGCGAGTTTCCCAAAACAACTATGAATGGAAAAATAACTATTTTAGTAATCTGTTCCGGTGCTAAATGTTTGTGTGTGACTTTGTACATCATTGTTACTCGGTTGATATTTCTCTGAGTTTCAAGTGATTCCCATTAAGATGGTCAATTATGGAAGTGACGCTGTTGGTGTTCTGGTATCTGTTGGTGACTTAGCATTCCGTGAACCCTTCTCAATATCGTTTTTGTGTTTTTGAGCGTCCGGGAATCAAACTGATGGACAATATTCTAAATTAGATAGTACAATAGATTTATATGCTAAAATTTTTGTTTCTTCATGATTTATATTAAGATTTCGTGTTATAAAGCCAAAGATCTTGCTGGCTTTGGCAGTGATGTTATTTATGTGAGTGTCTTCCTGATATGTTGCTGAATAATGTGATACCAATGTATTTTAATGTGTTGATGGAGTCATGTCAAGTTATAGTAAATAGGCTATGTCACACATTTTCTTAAAATTTTGCATCCTTTGGCTCCTTGAACTTTAACTGAAAATCGAAAAAATAATGCCTTTATCACCTTAATTTCCGAAATATTGAATTCTTTCAATATAGGTGAACATTTGGAAAGGAAGCACATAAAATGATCGAAAAACGTTCTTAAATTTGTGTTAAAATCATAAAATTTCCAATTATTAATACATAGATTTTTCATTAAAAACTATAATATCAATGTTGTTGATACATAAATTTCCGTGTTAATGATGTAAAATAATAATAGGTTCACTTACTTCGTTTTTACGGTATGCATCAACTCTGTGACATAGCCCATTTACAATTCCTTGACCTTAAATGTGGCCTTCAGTAAATAAATGGCTGTTTTGTGACTGTGATCTTGTAACAGTAAGGGAGTTGCCTTTTTAAGGATGGAACTGCATTCCTCAAGTTAGTTTGTTTCCAATTGGCTAAATGATTCAGATCATTCTGCAAGATGACACCAACTTGTTTTTCAGTATTGTATATAGAACACAGTAATCTGCAATTTTGATGGGGATCAGGTACTGCTGCAGAAGGATCTGTTATGAAAACTAGTTAAAGTAGTGGACACAGAACTGAACCTTTAGGCACCTTACTGACCGGGTATTTAACTAGATACCTCCTCATCAAGAACAATATGAAAATGAGAGACGAACCCTGTCAAACAGACATGTACCCTTTCGACCAATCTTTATACCTAATATTAATAGTTTTTCCGTTACTTATTTAAGTATTAAAGAACTGACTTAATCACGAAAACAAAACATTGATCAATTAACCAGGAAAACAAAGTTCAGGTCAGATGAACCCTGTCAACAAAACAATACAATTTTTATGGCAGACCGTAACTAACAACAACCAGTGGATTAAAGGAAACATAGTTTTGGGACATGAACATAGAGAATGAGCACTTAAATATCACCCTACTGCCGGGGACAATAGTTAAACAACACAATACAAGAACAAACTGTAAAAATCAGTTGGGCAGTTCTAGACTTATCAGATCGGTACTAAGCACCAAAAAAAATTAATAAGATAAAAATTCGTAAGGGTTCCGTGGAACCCAGTGTCTCGCCTACTTTTGCTGTTGTCTATGTTTTCAGTCTCAACAAAAATGGGGAAAAAACTATTAAAAACTTTCCTCTAGATACTATCTTTTGATTGTAAGAAGCTTCTGTCCAAGTTTGGTAAAAATCCAGGATGGTTTATGAATCTAATAAATGTTTTAAAAACTTTAACTGCAGACTGTATGTAATGTTAACTGGAAGAAATACTAAGTCCATTTATAAGTAATATACAGAAAAACAGGAAATAATTTTTACAAAATTTCCTTCTAGATACTAGCTTTTGATCATAAACAAGCTTCTGTCCAAGTTTGGTACAAATTCAGGTTAGTTTAAGAAAGTTATTAAAATTTTTAAAACTTGAACCACAGAGTGAATGCAATGTTAACTGGCAGAAAAACAATGTCCATTTATAAGTAAAATACGGATAAGCAGGATTTTTTTTACAAAATTTACTTCTGGATAGTATCTTATGATTATAAACAAGCTTCTGTCCAAGTTTGGTAGAAATCCAGGATAGGTTAAGAAAGTAATTAAAATTTTAAAAACTTTGGGCACAGAGTGAATGTAATGTTAACTGGCAGACAAACTAAGTCCATTTATAAGTAAAATACGGATAAACAGGATTTATTTTGAACAAAATTTACTTCTGGATACTATCTTATGATCATAAACAAGCTTCTTTCCAAGTTTGGTAGAAATCCAGGATAGTTTAAGAAAGTTATTAAAATTTAAAAAACTTTAACCACAGAGTGAATATTTGTGGATGACGCCGCCACCGCCGCCGATGACGGAATGTAGGATCGCTATGTCTCGCTTACAAAAGTCGCAGGCTCGACAAAAACCAGACATTCAAAGCAGGGATCTAGGAGTACAATCCCAGTGCAATGCCCAATTTCAACTAATAAATAAACTATGTTTTTTCCAAACAAGTTTATATGATCCGCAATTTCTAAATAATTGCATATGAACTTGGGTGTTCAACTAAACCTACATCATCTAGGACATAATCCTTAACCAAAGTAATTAGACCATTAAATTTGGGTCACATGAATTTTTTTGCAAATCAACATTGATCTCCTTCAGATGTTACTACATTCAATGTTTTGTTACTGACATCTTGCTGTGGATGTGGATGCAGACAGGCACATAGATGCCAATGTTTCTCCATTAGGTCCTTTAACCTTTGTTGAGGTCAACTTAAAATAGTTACTTTTATCGAGTGAGATGTAATTGCACTCAATATCTGTCAGCAATTTATTTCCAATTTGCTACATTTACCTCTGTTTAGAAATGTGGTATCTTTATCTTATGCGACACACCTTGAATATGCTACATATGAATGAAACATTTGCAACTAGACATTAATCCATCAACAATCAATCAGTCTAAGGGAACGTGAATTAATCAGCTGTTTCCTTTAGAGTTTATTTGAGACAATGACAACCTAAAACTAGGCTTTAGAGTTTGTGTCTAGACAAAAGTCCCATCCATTTCCTTTAGAAGTCCTGCCTACATTGTGTCTAGACAAAAGTCCCATCCATTTCCTCCAGAAGTCCTGCCTACTTTGTGTCTAGACAGAAGTCCCACCCATTTCCTTCAGAAGTCCTGCCTATATTGTGTCTAGACAAAAGTCCCACCCATGTCCTCCAGAAGTCCTGCCTACATTGTGTCTAGACAAAAGTCCCACCCATTTCCTTCAGAAGTCCTGCGCTACATTGTGTCTAGACAGAAGTCCCATCCATTTCCTCCAAAAGTCCTGCCTACATTGTATTGGTGTGAGCACCTGCATCCCATGGACACATTCTGATTTTATGGTTAAATGGGAAATAATGTAACATTTGATAAATAATAAAAACAAACTAAGCTTTCAACTTGTATTTTTTTCATAGTAAATATTCATCTAGTACATTTACATATATACACTATATATAAATATATTATAATTTGCATAGTACTTTTCCTCATAATATTATAAATCATCAGAAATCATGCTTCAATAAGAAAGGAGGTGTGATAATAACCATCATTTGGCCCCTAAAGTTGTAAAAATAGTGAATTTCTTTAATCCTTTCAAAAATATGCAAAATAAAATGAAGAGAATGATATAGTTTGATCACTGTAGTGTAGAATGGTCGTTTGAAATGTAACTGTGGTGGCATAAACATGCTAAAAATTACATATCTGATCTTAGATGACCGTTTTACATTTAGTTTTTGGTAAAATCGAATATGAGCTCCAGTTTACCTTTCTGAAAAGACATCTTGCCGGCAAAATATCTATTGTTGGCTTAGGCTCATAACAGACTGAAAATTAATTACAAGATCTCAAAATGAAGCTATTTTGGTGAATCTTGCATTTTTTTCTTAAATGCAAAAAGTCTGAAGGCCTAAGCAAATATGTAAGATGATAAATTATGATATCTGACAAATTTATGCATTGGGAACATCTGAAAGATGATATTTGATGGATTTATAAACTTTTGATTTTTAATTCAAGAGGACAAAAGTGGTTTTATATCATACCTTCTCCAAAATAAAACTGTACATTATAAACATTGAAGTTACACATGAACAAACATTCCAATTTGGCACTAAGAAAATGAAGTACAGTATACACAACAATTTAGGTGGGATATATATTATGTCTGCTCATGTTCTGTTTTATTCAGTTTTACCATACATAAATAATAGTCAAATAATAAGGTATCCTTTATATGGAGGTTTAAAACAATAATATTTGTATCAGTCATTAATTTCTACTCGCCTCTAAAGCCTTTAAAAAAATTTGACTGACAGATGCATGGATTTGAAAACCTATACCCCCTTCTTTCTTAGGTAGGGCAAAAAAATAAAGGAGTAGCCCCGGATAGACCCCTTTTTGGCCCCAAGATATAGCATTTCAAAATTTGTTAAATATATAAACTGTTAGCTATGTATTGGAAAGGAGAATACTTTTGTTACATAAATATGGGCTGTTTTTGACAACACAATGCACATGCATCAGGTACTAGCATCATTAATTCAGGCAAAATTACTGGAATCTTCAAAATTTTTACATTTGTGCTTATTTTTAGATGGTTTTTGACTAAAATGAAAGTGGCCGCACTTGTGTTCAGTCTTAATATTTAAATATATGTTGTATTTGATGACGATACATAACATATATAAAGGTTGAGACTGAACACGAATGCGACCACTTCCATTTTAGACAAAAACCAAGTGACGTTTTGTGGCATATTTGATAGATTTTTCATATTTAAGCTTGAATTTAGGCGTCTTTAATGACCAAATCAGTTCGAATCTTTTACATTAACTAATTGAATCGACTGAAGTAGACACTTGAGTGTTTAAAAAATGTAAAAAATCTTTCATCAAATGTACTTCAATTTTAGGCCGAAATCAGCCCTTACCGGACCTTCTCCTTTGTCTATATATGTTGAGAAAAAATAGATGTAACTAATATGAACCAATTCTGTCTGCCTAGCTAACCCTCTAAAACAAATATCTTGGCAATGTAAATCAAAAACTGCATTTTTTTGGTAGAATTATTGTCTATTATATCTTTAACATACTTTTACTATTTCTTTTGACAAAAAATACAGCCTTCATTGCCTATTACATAATTGACAAAGTTTCCTACACCACAGAAAGCTAGCTAGACTATCAATGGTAATTGTGTAATCATAATTTACAGACAAATTGTGAAAATTATGCAATTATCAGTGAAAAAGAACAAAAATAATCAACCCAGTTCACTTAATTATATAATAATGCAATCTACAGATCCATTGAACATGGCAGAAATTACATCACCAGCCATAAAAATCATAATTATAGAAATAAACATTCACAAATAAAACCAATGTCTGAAATAAAATTAAAAAAATGTCATTTGGTTCTAAAAATTAACAGATACAAAAGGAGGATTCATACTAACAGAGTTTTTACAAATCAACAACAAAATTGATTAAATCGTATGGAAGGTGCAAAAACCTTGCCTTGTACATCAAAGCTTAATAAAAAACCATGTTTAATCATATCACAGTTAAGAAATAAATGAGTGGAAATGAACAAACTCCAACAACAACCTGAATTAACTTCCTGGACGGAATCAGCTTATATCAAATCTCATTAATTACAATGAACTCTGTAACCTATTCGAACTATTTTTTCATTGACATTATTTTTCTAACTTCTTTTTAGCTTATTGATTAATATAGATTTTCAATTTCATTGTCTGTAGTTCTTGTAAACGAACATTTCAGGACAATTTTATCAAATATAATGTTCTTGAATCTGTTGCACTGTTATAAAATGCAAATGTTCTATAACTTATAGAAAATCTACTAAAATGCTTTAAAAGTTGGTTAGTAATTAGTAAAGAGATATCCATTTTTTGTCACCACCACATTGGGCAGATAATTTTTTTAAGAATGACAAAATACATCAAAACATATGTAAATGATTCCAAGGATTTGTATGGTCACTATATAGTCACTATACAAATCCTTCATGATTCTAAATGTACATGTATACCTGCCTTAACTCTTGAATGGATTAAGTACGAGATGAAAAAGTCTTACATATTTCACGTTTCATTAAATGTTTTGTAAAACATAATAGCAAGAGGCACAAAGGAGTCTGTATACCTAACCTACATGACCTAGCATCTATGACCAACCTGGCCCAATATAAGTACCAGTAATGTTTACCTATGTTATCCAAAGGCAGGCCATGTTACTGGATACATTCAAAAGTTCAGTCTTGGGATGATTCAGGTAATGTTTGGTAAAAAATAAACAAGTTGTTTCAGGGAAGACCTTGAAGTCAACACAATTATTTATGCATATTTAAAAAATTTTTTATAAAAAGTTTACATTTATAGGGACTGTGACGTGAAGATTCGAGTCACCTAACAATGACCAGAGAGGGGACCATCAAAAGACTACAGTTCCATATTTACCCACCTTTAAGGGTTTCCTTATGTTTAATTTTACATCAACAATAGTCATGTTAGGGTTTGTAAGAAGCATATCAATCAGAAATAATATTGAAACTAGATTATTCAGACAAAGCTATCATTCTCAGGATCCTAGCTAGGAATTTCAAGGGGCTACCTACCATTACAGCAAGGGGTATTTGGAGCTCTAAGGTAATCGGTAAAAAATTCCACAATATGACAATTTGCAGGTACCTAACTGGAAAAATATTGACTTTAATAAGAGTGCTTTTAAAGTGGTGGTTTATATGAACCCCTAACCTTCCTGGCCATGGGTGTGAGATGGAAGATCCAGGAAGTAAGAAATACGATAAATGTACTAAAAACATAAATTTTCTTTGATCTGTATAAAACAAAATGAAATGAAAAAGAATCCATCAAAATACATATGAAAGTAAAATAAATATCAAGCATGTCTTATTTGATTTCATTAACAATCATGCACCATGTGAATAACTAGAGCTATGAATGAAATCATTATTTTTTTATATTTAAATGCAGTCATTAAATAACAACAAAAAAAAGTATAAAAATATAATAACATGACATTAGCAAATGCAACAGACATTAAACTGATAAATCATCAGAAATATAATTTCAATCAATAATTGATTTATTTTTCCATTTCAATTTATTGCTTGACAGCTAACGAAATGTACAACAAACATCAGTGACAGGCGATATGCATTTGTTTATCCTACAAAGACCACTGAATAATTGATCATTTTAATTGTGAAAACCGATCTCCGTATCAAAATCGTCAATATTCAACAAAGGACATGGCTTTCAATAGGCCCTGCATGAAAAATGTTTCTGATGGATTTTAAACTGTATCAAATATCCCTTCTACATAAAATAATACCAGTTTTATAAATATTTCAAAACTTTGAAATATATCATATTTCAATCCTTTTCTTTGAAATATAAAAAAAAAAAAAATGAATTTACCAAACTTGAATCTTTTAAATTCATTACAGCTGCAATAACTATAACTGTATATTGAACCAGAAAAAATGTTTTAATTACATAACTTATGGCCATATTTTTATATTCATTCAAGACATCCTTTAAATGTTTAACAATTTTTTTTATATTTCTGAGTCCCAAATAAAGGTTTATGTTGCAAGTCTGTTTTTCACAAGCAAAACTTAATCAACCAGAAGAAGTTATGTAGTTTCCACAAAAAACATTTGTTATTTTCAAATAAAATGAATAAATCAGTAGAAAATATAATGAGATTCTATAGAATTTAAATTAATTATAGTCCAATGTAACTCATGTAAATGCATGCAACAACTACAACCAAAGATCAGTTCCTTCCAGCTATTTAATACAAGCTGAAAAAACACATTATGCAACAAAACACAGAAATCCAAAGTTAAAATAGTACCATATAAACCACATGATTGCCAAAATTACAATGTCCCAAGTTTCCACCCAAATCAATAATGGTGGCCTTAGAGATAATAATCGTTTTCCAATACAATCTTAGTCCAATTCATTTATAAAAAATATCAGGAAAATATCTTTTCAACATACATTCTAATGGCGGGTAAAAATATTATATAACAATTGGAAGGATATGACAAATTCATGTTTGGTCTGATTTTAAATTTCTACTGCCAAAATCATATTATGAAAAGTGAACATGGACGGATATGCAGGACAAATCTTTATAGAAACAGGTCATGAAAGATACCAGATACCAAATCATAGAAACAATGAATATAATGAAACTTTTACCTATCCCTTTTAATGTAACTTATCTACATGAGTGTACAAAATTTAATTGTAAATTCCATCATAAAATTATAAAGTGGAGAACTTTAATAGCATACTTTCAATAAAATCAATCTCATGAAGAATTTTATAGTATTTGAAAAATCAAATTATTCAAATTTGAAAATATATTATTACATCTCATATATGAAATACTTTTAATTGAAAATAAAAAAAAGTTTTCTCCCTTCAGAAAATGTTGAATAGTATATTTGAAATAAACTTATTATCTACAAAGATATGAATAATCATGAAAATTTCTGTTCAACTATGTATCATTCTGTCAAAAAGTATTGAATTAATATTACATGGAGCACTATCCACATAACATTTATAGCCTTAATTAATGCCCTAATCATATCTAAAAAAAGTTCAAACATTTCAATTTTTGGGAAGTATGTATACAATACTAGCAACAAAATAAGATCTTATCATGCAATGGTTCTTATACATGAAGTTGACATGATTCAAAATACTTAAAATATCTATCACAGCTATGCTTCAGTAAGGTCACAAAATGTTTTTTTTTAATAATTCAAACTTCACGCATTTGATTCTCCAACAATTTTGCTATTTCGTTTCCCGCTAGCACTATCATGTGAGCCTGCTTCACTGTTCTCCAAGGAATCACGTTTCTTTTTCCTTCTACTGAAAAGATAATAAGAAATAATAGAAAACAATGAATAATTTAGGACCTTCAAAGTGTGCAATAATGACTTTCACAGACAAAATATGAAAGAATAAATAATTGATTAAAACCTATCAACATAGCTGAGTTAGCATGGTTAAATAAGCTGAAGAAGTTTTATAACCATCCTAATAGTTTTTATACCACCAGTAACAATAGCTTATTATTTATTAAGGGTACACAGTAGTTAAGACATTAAATTGGAATAACATAAGCTTCAACCAATCCTTTTCTCCTGCACTTGATGATGAAACTTTGATCATACATGAAGATTTGGTGTTTGACTGATATTTCCCACAGACTTTGTTCATCCTTAGTAATGTCTGATAAAAAATATGAATATGAAAGAACGTCTTATAATTTTCCTTACAAAAATTATAAGACAGTATCAAGATGCTTTTCACGTTTGCTTTCCTTAACATGTTCTGATTGTGTAATACAAGTTAGTTATTTTCTTGTATAAAAGGGTAAACCTTGTCCATTTAACATGTTTCTCATGTTTATAGAGCAAGAGTAAAGCAACCTGTAAATTTTGGGAAAGATTGAATGAATCAACACAGTTTGTTTTACTCATGTCTAACAATCTAACTTATAGGTTACATAGTTAGACCTAAATATTTAAAAAATGACATCTGTTTTCCCAAATATGCTAAGATGCTGATGAATTTGACTAATTTTTCTTCTTGTTTGATGAACCTGTTAAAACTTGAGCATTGCACACAATAGCCACACTCTGGCTGTTTTTGGAGAAATCCATATGTGTTGCCTTTTCCTATTACTCTACATTAGATAACCCTTATATGCATATATCTCTGTAAATTTGTTAAGTTTTTTATTGTGATTTTAGATGACTTTCATTGTACCTATTCTTTTGAAATAGATTAATTTTTCACAGAACCTTGTATCACACATGTGAACATGAAGAGACTGCAGATTAGGTGAATACAATTAGTCTTATCCTTTATAGGTATACACAAATAATGTAGAACTTTTGACAAGGAAATGTATAATAACAGATATTACTTGAATATCCTCTAGCCAAAATTCATTGTAGATGATAATAAAGCATGCTATGTTTACCAGTGGAAATCAATAAAAAAAAATCTAGGAAACAGACTTGAATGTGATACTGACAATGAAATACAAGCCGTAAATCTTGCCTGCTAATTCAAAAGTCATCAACAAACAGATAAATAGACTCATCATCAACAATTACTTGTGACCATCTTACCAAGAAAAATATAATGATTGACTGTAGGATTATTGCTTACTATCACACAAACAGATAAATAGACTCGTCATCAACAATTACTCGTCACCATCTTACCAAGAAAAATATAATGATTGACTGTTGAATTATTGCTTACTATCACACAAACAGATAAATAGACTCGTCATCAACAATTACTCGTCACCATCTTACCAAGAAAAATATAATGATTGACTGTAGGATTATTGCTTACTATCACACAAACAGATAAATAGACTCGTCATCAACAATTACTTGTGACCATCTTACCAAGAAAAATATACTGATTGACTGTTGGATTATTGCTTACTATCACACAAACAGATAAATAGACTCCTCATCAACAATTACTTGTGACCATCTTACCAAGAAAAATATAATGATTGACTGTAGGATTATTGCTTACTATCACACAAACAGATAAATAGACTCGTCATCAACAATTACTCGTCACCATCTTACCAAGAAAAATATAATGATTGACTGTAAGATTATTGCTTACTATCACACAAACAGATAAATAGACTCGTCATCAACAATTACTTGTGACCATCTTACCAAGAAAAATATACTGATTGACTGTTGGATTATTGCTTACTATCAACAGGAAATGGCTATATCACCACAATAAAAACACAGAGTTTGAATTCAAACAAATGCTTCGAGACAACAAATTTTTTTTGAATCTAAGTATAGAGTCCCTATAGTTCCTATGTGTTTTCCTTAAGATAGTCAACATGAAATTAAATATTGTCATGGTCTCCCATGCACACTTCTGTAAGTTGAAACAGGGATGGGCACGATTACTGACAAATGTAATCGATTAATAATCGATTACTTGAAGGATTTTTGTGTAATCGATTAATAATCGATTACTCTGATTTTTGTATGTAATCGATTGCAATCGATTACTTTAGCAAAAGTAATTACATTACTTTTCGATTACTGTCAATTACATGCTACAAAATTACAAATTAAATAAAGTAAGTTAAACACAAAGTCAATTATGTTGTTCAATGTATGTATAGTGGAAATTTTGAACTTTACAAAAATAGCATTTAAAGCATTGTTTCCAAATTTTATGTTGACAGTTGTTTTCTAGATGGAAGCTCTTACTGTCTAAGGATCCAAAATATTCAAAAATTCTAGAAATTTTGGTTTTCAATATGAATGATTGGTGATAAAGTTCTTGCAATGGCATCACATTGCATCAATCACTTTTTTTTATATTTTAGGTTATTATCTCCATATTTTTGCAAATTTTTGCTGTCATACTGACTAAAGTTAAGTTTTTTGTTTTTACTCATTATTAACAGCTATATTTGAATATAGTTCATTACAATGTTGAAAGTTTACTCTGAAAAAAAAACTATAAAAAAGTAGAATAATTAATTAGTTCAGCTAATTTTAGAGATGAAAATTTATGATTTGTAATTACATGCATGAATTAATCCTTTTGTTTTGACAACCTCCCTAATTACAGGCTATAATACTGCCAAATGGAGTACAATTATAACCTGGGGCAATATAATGTAAATCTCCTCTTAATTAGACATAATTGAAATCAAAACAAAGTCTTCATCTTATTGACTAGAAGTCTTTGTTCATCTGATTAGTAAAGACAAGAAGTTTGTTGAGAATTTTGTATTCTCATTTCAAAATTATAAACAATTTATATTTTTTGTGCAAAAATTGGATACATGTATCTCTATTTCTGAACAAGAATCTTAATGCATAGCCATTGGTTCATTGTCAAAAGGATTTCGTGTACTTTGTAATTTTTATGTCATAACATTATAATGAATGAAATGTTTATCTATTCTAAGCTAAAATTCCAACTATTATTGAAAATTATGCTTTAAGGAATTTTAATACAAATAAGCTTACTACTGCAATATAGTCATATTTTAACTTAAGACTTATTTCTTATTTAAATCTATTTTCTTTTTTTGATATAAAAGGTCTTAAATTATTGACCAGCAAGAAAAATCATTTGTTTCAAAAGCTAGATATACAGTATAATTTGATAGATCTGGTTGAAGCAGCTAGAGCCAATAGATAGAAACAAGGCATTTGATAAACTCTTAAGTCATATCAATACATTTTATTTTTATCTGTACTATAAAGTGATGAATACATACATACTTTCATATAAAATAGATTATATTTCATCAAGCTATTTTACCAAAGTAATCGAAATGTAATTGAAAAGTAATCGATGATTACATCATAATTTTTGCTGTAATCGATTAAATTACGATTACATGTAATCGAAAATATCTTCGATTACAGATTACTGTCGATTACTGGAAAAAATGTAATCAATTACAATCGATTACGATTACAGATTACGATTACCCCATCCCTGAGTTGAAACATCAACACAAACTTTCAATATATTACATGGGCTAGTCCTACATTTAAGAAACTCATTTTGAAAGGGTTAAACAATTACTGTAAAATATCATATTATAAAAATGTTATAAGACCATCTTTAATAAAAGAATAATTGGATTAGTTCAATCAATGAACCTCCCTTTCCCCATAAAAATTTACTTCTTTCCTCCCTTGTAACTTATTTGCAATGATTTATACCAATGATTTATTTCTCATAGATTAATAATTTGTGTCATAGAATACAATAATTTTTATTTCTGCATGGTTTCATCTGATGCTTCAGGAAATTATAACACCCCATTTTCACTGTCAATATAAAATCGTTTTATTTCTTTTCTCTTTCAAAATGTGCGAAAACTCTACAAATATTTACCTTTCAGTTAAATCAACAAAAAGTTGTGCATAGCCACAAGAGCAAAAATCATTGACAAATAAAATAGAATTTGTTCATTTTACTTAGGCATAAAAGTTTGCTACACAATTGCAACCTATAGATTTCTGATCACTTATCATAGTAGATGCTGGTTAACAAGGAAATTGCTGTTAATTACTATACAAACAAAATCAATTTTTCAATCCTTTTTTTTCTTTTAGTATTTTATGTTTTTGTTGTTGCTAAATTGTCCATAATATTCTGCATCAAACAAAATAAATTGGTAACATATTTCACACATTAAGTCAAATTATTGATATGGTTCAGGTATTAACTGGTGTTACAGATAACCAAACAAAATCTATGCTTCATATAAATTGTAATTCGGTCAATGTGTTTACATCCCGATAAAATGACAAAAAGTACATTTGTTATTCCCTAATGTAAATGTGTTTTTTTTTTTGTGCCTTTTAAACAGTTGAACCACTGTATACAGGGTTGTAACTAAACAGTTGAACCACTGTACAGGGTTGTAACTAAACAGTTGAGCCACTGTACAGGGTTGTAACTAAACAGTTGAACCTCTGTACAGGTATAGAACCACTAATTCAGGCCCGGTCGGAAAGAACATACAAGAAAATAGTACATATTTTAAACAAAATAGTTCCTACGCATAGCTGTATCTTTGTCAATAGTGGGAATATTTGGGTAGTTTTAGTATCAAATGAAAGCTTGGGGACTTGGGGTCACTGTAGAACCCTTGTTGAAAGTTTTATTTGAATAATAAAGAAGTATAGGAAATTATAATAGGAGGGCTCATTTGGCCTGTTGTTCAGATCAGAAGTTCCTGTTTTTGTACTATCAAACTTCCGGGAACCAGTACGCTCTAATATGCAATTAAAGGTATGTTGAATTTTTCAGCACAAGTCAGCATAAGGTAC